ATGTAATGGATATAATTCAATATAATGAATAGATGGATGGATGCTGTGAACTAAAACAAAAATAAAAAGCTAAAATAAATACAAGAAAGCAAAATCATTTCCAAGTGACACATGATTATGGAACCCAGTGCAGGACCCACACAAGACAACTAATGGGAAAACAAACTTTTGTGAAACCAAAGTTACCAAGAATACAGGAAATTAAAAGGAAAGTAGAAAAAATAATAATAAAAAAAATAAAACCTAATGGGAACAAACAAAGCAGTGTGGTGGGGAGTGACTACTCTTCGTCTGAATAAATGAAAACTATGTAACACAGGTGTTTAAACTTAAATTAAAAATATTTGACCAAAGAAAAACTGGAGCAGGACTAGAGAGAGATGAATATGATTTAGATTTTTTTTTATTGCTGTGACTGTATACGACCCACAGGAGACACAAAATTAACAGTCATCATTTCATTCCTCGGCTTTAGCAGGTCTGACGATGCTAAAATTGACTTTTTTCTGAGATATAGATCTTTAGATGTAGATATACTGTAGATATTTAGATCAAAAATATTAAAAGAACACTGTTAGTGCCACTGATCAAGTCAAACATCTTTCTTCATATCACTAATTTTGCAATTGAGATTATAGTCTCAATGAGCAGTTTGTTGCAAAGTTTTATTTATTTGACATTGTAAGTATAAGTGTTGTTTTTTTAAAACTATAACCAGAATAATTACTGGACTGGCAAACAAAATTCATAGCTCAATAATGACCAATTGTAAAATCTAATAATGCCTATAAAAAAGAAGACATCCCGTTTAAAAATATTCCTACCCTTCATCCTAAATTTTAAATAACCAGACTAATTTTAATTCAATGAATTTTAAAGGAAAAATAGAAAATGCCAGAAGCAATAATGCAAACAAAAACTCAGTCCAATCCTGATCTCTTGACTGATGTGATTGAAACAATGTGCAAACATATAAACGCAAAAGCAATTTGACACATACTTCACAAATACAGCTAGTGTGAACTATGAGAAATTTATGATTCACAAAGGAATTAACTGAAGTCTAACTGCTACATTTTTATCCCCGTTAATGACAGGATCAGAACTGTAGGGTGAATTAAATGATTGAAAGTCATTATAAATATATTTAAGCAGCATAGACCTTAAAAGCTCTCCAGCACCGTGTGAAGTGCCATTAATTTGAAGAGCAGTGTGGTTGTTGAGCAGGTTCCACCATCAGCTGCCTTTCTAATTGATGACAGGAATGATAATTGCTCTCAAAAGAACACATTTTCAGGCAAACTCTCACCATTCATCTGCGCACCTTACACACTAAAATAGTCTGGCCTAAATGTGAAAGCCTCAAGCAGGAACCAAACTGAGCTGCTTTGCCTTTCTTTTTTGTTTATTATCAAAACCAAAGAAAGACTCTTTCTCCTGCCTGTCATCTATGAGTAGGGTGACAAATATTCTTCAAAGTGCAAGACTAATACATTTTATGCATGAAAATAAAGCTTTTTTATTCTCCAAAGACCATAGAGTGCTTTGAGTAACTGATGGTGCAGGACCTGAAAGTGTCTTTTTGACAAACCACTTTCTGATTTTAAAGGACAAATAATGATGCCTTCAGAGAAGAACCAGAAGGTGTGCAGATTAAAAATAAGACTGCGATTTCCAGATTGGTTTTAATAACTTTTGTGCTGCACATAAATCAAAAAATAAAAATAAAAAATAACTAAACATTCACTGCTCTTAAACGTTTGACCACAGTTACTGAGTCTTTTATAATTTGTTTATCCCTGGGTGTCTATCGGTGGATGTAATTATTTCTATTAGATCAGTTATTAAGCTACATGTGTCAATGATTAAAACAATTCTATTTTTATGTTGAAAAAGTCACTAATGATTAAAGGTTTCTACTTGAATCCACTGATGCATGAAGAGACAGCCTAAGAGAGTAAATCATACGTGCATATTGAATACATTTCTTTAAATCAGAATCTGGCTCTAAAATCAATAAGACAAGCATTTACTTTTTTTTATTTTTGCTTTTTGCATTTTTTCACTCATCACACGCACCGCACCTGCAGAGAGACTACTACTTTCTGCTCTGATTAGTTTGCGCAGCTGAAGGAACTGTTTTGCATTTAGGCCCGTCTTTGATCAAAGCTTTAAGGAAGACTTAGGAACACAATCACATTAGAACACGAGCAGACATCTATAACCAGAAAATTGTGCTGCAATCCCCCAGAGGGGATTGAGGAGCAAATCTATCCCAAACCCGGCACCAATTAAAAAATGCATTGACATTCAATTCCTCAGAAGCCACAAACCAATCCTCTCCGCCACCCCCCTCAGCTCATGTGTGACTATAGATCTCCTTTAGTTTGAACACGCTGCTGCCTCGTGACGTCTGACACCCTGAAGAATCATGTGGGYGCACTTGATTTGTTTACCTTGCAGATGAAGCTTGCTCTCGGGGCTCTGCAGGAGGATCGAGCTGACTGAGTCCAGATTGTCATAGCTACTACATCCCAGCGGCCCTGTCCGTGTCTCCGTCACCTGCAAGAGAATTAGGACTCAAATGAAAGCCACATTACAGAAAGAACGAGGTCATTTTGTGTGTGGGGGTGCAAGTGTCTACTTGTTTAGTGTGTGCATTGAGCAGAAAGCACTTCCATGTGTAGAGTCATCAGGGTATGTAGGGTTTTTCTCAGTGCGTTTTTGTGGCCACAGTCATTTTCTACACATGAAAAGGACGGCTCAGAAAACTACCCAGCCRTTAACCATGTCAGCTCTTTGTAACTGCTGTCAGCACAGAATATTAACAGTTATTAGCTGCTTTTTTATTTTTGAGTGACTTAGACCTTCATGTGTGCTAATTGCACTGCATTCACACTAGTAAATTTACACCCTGTGGCCAGCAGACAAAGAAACATTGATTGTGCAGTTTTGCCATACATTGTGAAAGGTTCTATTATCTAAGCATTTTTTTCACACTGCTCCGACTGTGAGGACTTCACTGACTCAATCCTAAAAAAAAGTCTTAATTGCTTTTTTTTAAATAACACCATCTCTCAAGGTATTTTATTGGAGAAGCTGGTGGCATATTCACGTTGTTACAAAAATGCTATTTCCTTTAAGTTTTGTGAGAAAGGCTTCTTGAAGGGATAGTGACCTTTTTTTTAAAATAAAAGTCGGGATGTTAAAAAATCTAAAAGAAAAAAATTGTATCGGTCTTCTGGACGGGTTCTTCTCTAATGAAACGTTTCGTCTCTCCTCCAACAGACTTCTTCAGTCTGAGAGTTTCAGRCAAAGTACAGGCTTTTAAGCACTGCCTCCATGTGACTGATACTCACATCACATGGCTATTGTTGACAC